AAAAGACAATATTTAATAATAAAAATAATTTTATTTTACAGTAACAGTAAAATTTCAATTCCAATATTTATGGCTGTATACAGCTTTTATTTTGGCAGAAAACACTTTTTTTTTTATTTACACAATTAACGTGAGTCAAACTCTTCAGGTTGGAGAATGTATACAGAATTCTGTATAAATACAGAAAAATCACATCTCTGACTATTGAACATTGAGCCGTTTACTTGCACACAATACACTGATGAGTACTAAACATCATCGGTTCACATGCAAACCAGTAACCTGGCAATGCCAGAAACCTGCGTTTACAGGTTATTCTCTTGAAGTGATGTTAAAATGCAAAGTATTCCTTTTGTGTTATGAGTTGGGATATTAAATAAAGCATCAAAAACCCCAGAGTATTTTAAAATGTCAGCAGGAAACTAAACACTAAAGCGAAGACACATGTCCATGTTTAGCGATTAAACACCTTAATCCACCTTTAAAGCAGCTTACACAAAAAAAGCTCTTAGTACTATAGCAAATTGACCTGACGGTTAAGAAATAAAGTTTGCAGCAATGATATCTTTCTATTTTAACTAGGGCTGCACAATTAATCTAATTTCTAATCGCGATTACAGTTATGGATGTCACAATTATGTAATCGTTCATAGCGGTAATTAATCGTTCAAAGTCCACTTATGTTATTCTGCGTGCTAAAGATGTTTTTTTCTTTCTACATTTTTCTCTTTCTACGAATTTTCTTAATGTTATCTTAATGTTAGTATAACATTATAATATCATGCATATTTGAACTGTTTTCTTATTTAAAGAAGAAACCAATCCAATGTATAGTTGACATTTGAGGCTTAATACTATAGAAAAGCAATACAAGTTTTTCAGTTTGAGGGTTTTCAGCTTGTTTATTTTCAAATAAAAATATGGCATGCAGTTGTTTCAAACAATGGTATAAACATCATTCAGTGTAAATTGTGATAATCATAATTAATAATCGCAATTACAATTTCAAGGGAATAATCGACAATTATGATTTTTGTAATAATCGTGCAGCCCTAATTTTAACAGTGCAAAATTATACAGTAAGGCTTAAGCTTCAGAACAGCTTGAGTCCGTGGGACCATTGAAAACCTCAGACAAGTAAATATTGGAGAGAAAAGCAGTGTGTAAATACCTGTCTCTGACTGTGTTCAGGTAAATCCCAGTACATCTGTGGCGCGGGGCCCTCAGCGGGTCTCTGTGCCAGGCTATCGCTGCCAAATCTTGAAGGGTCTGGATACTCCGACAGAGAATCAGATGGCGAGGAGAACAGCAATGTGTTGGACAGCTCGTCTATGCACAGATCCTAAAAATAACCACAAAAACATGTTCAGAAGTTGACATTTCAGCCACTAAAATCATTTCACTGAAATACACATAACAGTTTCATTTTAGATATAGTTATCTAGCCAAAGTGTGTCTGAATGTGTATTTATTTATACTTTCTTACGAGGAAACACACAAAAAAAACATTTTAATAATGTACTTTTTTAAAAACTGTTACTTGAAATAAAATAAACTTTAACTGAAAGAAAATATAAAAAAACATATACAATAAAATATATAAACCTTAAAATAAAATATAAAAATATATATTTCAGCTAGTTGCAAAGGCAAATATTCTCGTTTTCATTTAATTTAACTTGATGTACTTAACTAAACTGAAATTAAAACTAATTCAAGCATTTTAAAAACATTAAAATGAAAACTAATAAAAATGACAAAAACACACAACTAAAAATAATTTTAAAAATATTTTTTTAAAAAAATAGTAGTTTCTCAATGATACAAATAGTCCATACAACACATGCACTACATTTCCAAGACTTTTGAAGTCATACGATCGCTTTGCATTAAGACAGATTAATTCAATCACTTTTATTAAATTTAAAGGTGTAGCCACAATATTCTTCAAAAACAAAAAGAAAGAAAGAAAGTCATACGGGTTTGACATGAGGGTGAGTAAATGACAATTCTGTTGAAAGCTGCGATACTCAGAACCGAAGCTCATAAAATCATCTGATATATGATGCGCAAATTGCGGTTTGTTTTTCACAGCAGCTGTGGACTCAACACATTACTTCAGAGATGGCCAATGTCCAAAAACATTGACTGTAAATCTGTCAAGAGATGGTTTTCATTCCTGGAAGCTTCAAACAGTATTCCTGACCACACTCGAGGCGATAACCTCCTGTTATTCCTACAAGAGATGAAATATTGAAAACTAGACGCAGCTAAAGCAAAGCCACACGTCCATGTTTAGGGGTTAAATGCAAATGCTTAATGCACCTTTTACGCAGCTTGCACAGAAAAAAACCCTCAGTAATAGCAAACTGACCTGATGTAAAGAAATAAAGTTTGCACCAATAACATCTTTATGCTACAGAAGAGAGCTGTAAGGACTGTAAATCAACTCAACTATTATGAAACCACCCAATAATTTTATTTATTAAATTATATTCTTTAAAATTGTGTGATCTGGTTGATTTTAAACGTGCACATATAACGTATAAAGCACATAATAATTTACTTGCCAGATGTATTCAGACGCTGTCTGAAATGAGAAAGAGTCTGTATAAACTTAGGGAAGCGCACGTTTAGGGCAAGGATAAAATAAAATAAATTATTTTTTAATGAATGCCTGAAAGGGGTGAAATAACTGTGACTTAAAAATATGAATTAAAAATATGTAGTTTACTTTGCAAATTTAAAAAAAGAAAAAAATAATAAAAAAATTAAGTGATAAACAAATATATTAATAATTAATATATAAATTAATAATTATTAATCAAATTAACAATTTTCTGTTTTATTTTTGTGTCTTTTTGTATAGATTAAATTTATTAGTGGAAGTGACACTTGTAGTTTACTTTGCAAATTTAAAAAAAGAAAAAAATAATAAAAAAATTAAGTGATAAACAAATATATTAATAATTAATATATAAATTAATAATTATTAATCAAATTAACAATTTTCTGTTTTATTTTTGTGTCTTTTTGTATAGATTAAATTTATTAGTGGAAGTGACACTTGTTATGAAAAAAAAAAAGAGTAGGTAAAATAAGCTTCAGCCTACACCTTTTTTTGGTTAATATGTAAAATTATGCATAATTATTATGGAACTATGCCTGTGGACTGAAATAAAACAAATTCTGACAGTGCAAACCTCAATTACACAGTAAACTTCAAGTCAGGTTTAAGTTACAAAACAGCTGGAGTCTTTCACAAACACAGAATCTTTCAAGAAACGAATGAAAGCCCATTCCAGATACCGTAATCTCCCATTCACAGATGTTAAGGCCTCTTAAAAATGCTCTACTGGATGGAACTTTTAATTTTGCGCTATAAGCTGATCTGAGGCTGTCAAAAGATGATGAAACTGCTTGTATTAATCTGGAAACTACTCTGTTTCCGACAGCAAGATGTCCAGTTGCATAATATTTCCATTTGCGAGAGTGAAACGGGGAATTTAGTGGAGATAAAGCAGGGTCAGGACTGAATGACGGGACAATAACAGTAAACTCTGGTGGACAGGAAGGAATGAGGAGCAGGGCACGAGGAGAGAGGTCAGGAACCGAACACATCAAGAACTCATGTCTGTAGAAGCAGATGCTGAAATAACTCACAGCAATAGCTGGATCACACACCGTTTCTATACTGAAATCATCCACAATCACAACAGCTTGAGACTGTCTACACTGGAAAGAAAGCTGCATGTCACCTCATAATATTTACTAATGAGGGACCAATCAGCTGTGAACAAGGGTCCTAGATTATTTTCAATGCAAATATGTATAAAAAATTAGATTTGCAAATTCTGTTCTTATTCTTATTTACATTTTTACACAGCTTTTTTGGAATTGGAGTTTTAAAAAAAACTGCTGTTCACTCTTTTCTATGCAATTATAATAAACAGGGACTTTTATTATACAAAACAAAGAGATTAGAATCAGCACAATCTGACTTTGATATAATGATCAGAAGTTATTTAGATAAATGAAAATCATAATAAATTTAGCATATTTGTAAATATTTGCTCTATCGTAAATAAAATATCAGAGAAAATAATGCTGCTGAAGTAGCATCACAAATTAAATAAATAAATAAATAAATAAGAGAGAAAAATGAAAGATTTCAGGTAGCCAATCACAAGTAGCAGAACAAATTAAATGTAATTAATTAATTAAGAGGAAAATAAAAGATTAACAGTAGCATCACAAATTTAAATAAACAAACACAAACAAATAAATAAATGAATGATTTCAGGTAACCAATCAACAGTAGCGTCACAAATTCAATTAATAAACTTAATTAACTAAATTAATCAAAAAGAAATAAAGATTTCAGGTAACCAATCACGTGATATCATGGTTAATAATTTTCATGTTACAACCATAGCAAACAAAAACACCTGAATGCATCGAGCAGCCTATAATAAAAAAAAAATCTGTAAACAATGCAGATTTAACCAAACCAGAGCTGTACCAGAAGACTTTCATTTGAGAAAAGCATGAGCTTAACACTGCAGCAAATGATGCTTTTGTGTCCATATTTACAGGCAGCCAAGCCTAATTTTACCGCATGTGCTTTAAGAAGTGTTGACAGCAGTGTATGGCTTTTGATAGTATGCAAATAGAGAGTAAATAGTGAGTATGTGCCGGAACAGCAAAATATAAGCAGCATATAACTGATATTTCCATTTGCAATCATTTCAGTTCAGTGTTAGTTATGTGGATAAGATCTGTGCAAAGACGACTGAACAATCAAAGATAAAGCTGGAAACATTTAGCTGGCAAACCTATCCTAACTAGTTTCTATGTTCTCACGCACTGAGAGAGTATAAACTCTTTCCTCCAGATAATATCATTCCACGTGACACAGAGTGATAGTCTATGTAGAGAATACACTGCAGTAAATACTGCGATTCCTACTATTTTTAATAAGATTGTGAAACTGTGCACTGCATGCAACACTCAAACATAAAATAAATGGTAACACTTTACAATAAGGTTCCATTAGTTAATGCATTAACTAACAAGAACAAACAATGAGCAATACATTTATTACAGTATTTATTAATCTTTGTTAATGTTAGTTAATGAAAATACAGAGGTTCATTGTTAGTTCATGTTAATTCACAGTGCATTAACTAATGTTAACAGGCACAACGTTTGATTTTAATAATGCATTAGTAAATGTTGAAATTAACATTAAGATTAATAAATGCTGTAGAAATATTGTTCATGCTTAGTTCATGTTAACTAAAGTATGTAACTAACGAACCTTATTGTAAAGTGTTACCAAATAAACTTTAACTTATTTAAAATATTGCAAAAAATACACACAAAAAAAACTTAAGCTTATTTTATTTCAGCTAGTTGCCAGGCAACAATTCTCATTTTCATGTATTTTAACTTAGTGTACTAAAAACTAAAACTGATATAAAAATGTATAAAAACTTTGCAGACATACAAAAATAAAAATGATAAAATCAAACCAAAAAAATACTAAAACTTTTAAATTAAAATAAAAACAAAAAATAGTAAAATAATAATACAAAATATTAATAAAAACTAAATAAAATAAAAATACAAATTTTAGCTCAATGATACTAAAATAACACTGTGTCAAACAACAGTATGCAACGTTCACATTTTAAAATTAGTTTAGTTTTTTTGTTGTTTTTTGTTTTTGACCAAATCATGATTCAAGAACGAGATCTTGGTTGATTTCACTTTCAGTTCAGTTCAATCATTACACAAATAACATTTATTTGCTAAAATGATTTTTCCTGCAGACTAAGCTATTTATTACAGCATAAAATAGTCAAAGCACATGTTAGTGGTGATTCTGGGACGCAGTGACGTGATTGCAAGTTACAAATAAATTCTTCCATACTGTACTGAGTTTTCCTCTTTGGGAAGAATTTTCAGAGCCAATTCTCACGAATCAGGAACCAATATCAAAAAAGGAAAAATGACACATTCAGTGCTTGTTTTTGAATTACTTTCCCAATGGTTCTGGTGAGTTCAACCTCGATCAATAACAAAAGAGACGGGATCTGCTCTTACCTGGGAGAAATCTCCGTTCTGCACAAGGTCGTGAAAGTCTATGTCAGACAGGTCCAGACCCGAGGACGGGTTCGGCTGGAGCTGCCTGATAAATCAGAGGAGAGCGGTCAGGAACAATCACACACAGAGCAGAATGTCTCCAAAGCCTTCAAATACTACTAGAATACAAATCGAGTCGGAATATTTTAGGGGTGTAACGGTACAGGACTTTCGGTTCAGTACGCATGTTTTAACCACTGCATATGCGGAACTTACTTTAAAACTCCTAGTTTTATATATTTTAATTTTAATTAATCAATAATGACTCCTAAATCTCAACATCGATCTTTCAGTCTATGCTGTTTTAGTTGATGCGTGAATAAAACTTCACTAGATTGTCTATAGCGCACCTAATTGTGTTTTGTTATCTTGTCATCTTTCAAATTCTGTCCATTTTATCAGGAAATTCAAACAAATGCTTTTTGTGTCGATTATTTATAGTATAGCATTTGAATTTAATAGCTTGTGCTCTGTTGTTAATTGGAACTTTTAATATTATAGTAATGTGCAAATAATAGGGCTTCCTATATAGTTACAGCATTAGCTGAGATAGATGTTTTATTCCTGAGAAAATTATGATTATAACTGAATTTATTTAAAGACAGAGCCACAATTTGATCATTAAACAACAAGAAGCATTTTTTGTGTTTAGTTTTTTCCCCTTCTGTACCTAACTTACCAAACCATGACTTTAAAACCGAGGTACGTACTGAACCATCATTTCTGTGTAGTTACACTCCTAGAATATTTCATATCAGATCGCTCTGTACATAAATACACAATGGATAACTATAATCATGATAAAGTGCATATGTCACATGTTTAAAACTAAACTGCAATTGAAACTAATGCACTAAACACATTAGAGAGAGACAGATAATGTCAGCATGCAATGATAATTCACCTTATTTAATCTATTTTCTTAATGCATACTATAGATCTTATTGTGAACAATTAATCCATGCATATGTTTGAATTAACATTTTTTTGCATCTTGTAATGTTTAATCAAAATGTCATTACTGGATCATTCAGTGAAAACCTCAGGATGTTCATTTTGCATGCAGTCAGCGAGGAATAAAACGCTGTGTTGACTATTTATTGTCAATACATTATTATTAATGTATATAATGCACAATTCATTATATATAATGCATAATGCATGCTTTTTGAAAAGACACTGTGCACAACTCACCTCCCAGATTGCATAGGATAGTGCTGGTTGTATTGAGTTTGCTGTGGGTACGTCCATGAGTTCGACGGACACAGCTGACTCTGGGGGAAACAGGAAACAAACAGCACATTTGACACAGGAAGTGGCCCTTTGAAAACACTATTCAGCAGAGATATTACCCATCAACCCAAATATTTACTGGCAGTGCTGATGATTTAGTGACTCATACTGACACGGTGAAACCCGAAACAAACCGCACACATACAGGGTGAAGACCAACAGTTCACCAAATAAACCACCATAAACCAGGTGAAGTGAGGCTACTGTTTCTAGAGAAATTATTACCATTGGCTACCAAAGCACGCCAGGTCCGTCACATTCTGGACAGGGTTCAAGACCAACTAGAGCAATAATGATGAAGACAAAATGGTTCAAGTTCAAAACTGCAGATTTAATCAGGAAATTTGTCATCAAGAGTATGGCACTAGAAAAAAGCAGCATCAAACAGACTCCTGCAGGTTTGTATATTGAGTTAAATCTGCTATCAAACCTAAGTCTGACCTGGATTCAGAAAGGTTTGGGACAGATGTTCAAGTCTAATTTCAAGTTTGTATTGGGCTCAGGTTTGTAATTTAATTGTAAAGTTAAATAAAAAATAGAAAAGCCTGTTTTTAGGATCATTAATATTTTTTGCTCTGACATTTTCATTATTTTTTTTTCCAGGTTCAAGTTTGTAATTCATGAAAAATGTAATATTAATATTTTCTTCTTTCATTTTTTTTACTAATTTCGTACTAAATTTACAATTAAACTTAATTGTAAAATTATATAAATATATATATATATAAAAACAGAAAAGTCTATTTTTACACACACTAATAAAAATTACAAAAACACAAAATTACTAAAACTAATACTACTAAAATAAAATTAAAATTTTAATAAGAAAATAATATTAAATAACAATATTGAAATGAAAACATTATTAATAAAAATATAATATATATATTTTTGTTTGTTTGTTTGTTTTTTTCAATATAACACTATACATAAGCCTATTTTGTATTGTGACATTTTGATGTCAATTAAGTCAAAATGTAATAATTTAATATTTCAAATAATTTACCGTACATTTTTTAAAGTAAAATTATAAACAAACATCACTGTAGTTAAATCACATGAAAAAATGCAATACATCATTATAAAAAAATGTCCCCAAAATAGGCCTAATTCATTTTTTTAATGGAAAACATGACTTTTTTTTAGACCCTTGTTCTACTCACTCAGAGAGGAAATTTAAAGAAACATGGCAATTTCTGGTTTGGTCTTTGAGTCACAGGGTCTCAGGTTCAGGATTCAAGTTCAACAAGCATGTGCAGACCTTCAGCCTTAGTATAGTATAGGGGTAACCGTAACATTTACCATAAACGGTGTGTCTTAATGTAAAGTGTGTGTGGTTGTTCAGACATTATAAGGCTCAGTATGTACCTCCATGGAACTTGTGAGAGGAGGACTGGGAGCGCTGAACTTTGGGCTCCCCAGCTGAGGGCCCTCGGGGTGCAGATAGTCCTCCGTTTCCATGACAACAGACGTGGCAAGAGTGGGCATCAGGCTCCGAGCAGAAACATGGTCACGTGTCAAAGCCCTGTCATTCTCCAGCCATCTCTGAGAGAGAGAGAGAGAGAGAGAGAGAGAGAGAGAGAGAGAAAGAGACAACCTGCCACATGTGTTGTAGTGCTGCAATACAGCCACACTGTGGACATGAGCCCCCTGGTGGAGCTCTGTCTGAGGGCCTACAGGTGGGACAATCAGTCAGCATGATACTCATCACAAATAATCTATTCGTTACAGTGTTTATAACTCAGACTGATGAGTCCTGCTGGAAAGTCGTCTTGTACTCATGATAAAGCAGAATGCATGATCATATGATGCTGGTGATGCACACAACTGCTTACCTGAACCTTGCAGGTTTGTTTGACCTATCACTGAACTGGCTGTGATAACTAGCGAGATAAAATGTACAAGATACAGATACATGCATGCATATGCATTCAGATATTTAGTTATATTCTGCATTATTTATTTATTAAATGCATGAGTTTCCATTAACAAATTATCTTACCAGATGATCTGAATGAAAAAAATAAATAAAAATCTGACCTTTTTGTGGCATTTATATATTATATATTCAAAATAAAGCAGTTTATTTCAGATAGAAAGCTAACTGATAGAATGAATAGAATGTGAGACAGACATATGACAGGACTAATGGGTTAAAATATAATATATTAAATATGTAGGCCTTGTCTATGTGACAGCTTGGGGGGAATTACACTGTAAGTGTGTGTCAGTTTTATTCTGATGTCTATAATACAACCTGTCACTAACTCACCCTTAATAAATAGACATTATCAAATTAAAAAGGTTTAAGTATCTATCAGATTGTGATCGAATTATCTGTCTGAGCGTTTGTCAACCTGAAAACCCTCAGCCATACAGCACTGGCCCCTCAAGCACGTCACTTTGATATGATTACCAGCTCATATTGATTATTAAAGATTAACATAATTGATTTATTAACGAATTGATCAACTGTCTGCGTGTTTTTCTGACTGACTCAATGGAGCGCTATTGTTTGATTCGTGCTAACATGCTAACCTGACAGAAAACTCACTCACCGCGCGTTAATTAAACCCCCCTGTACGCGAAACCCCTCCACGAGCACTAACGACCACTCAATCTGGGGTTTTCTTGATCGGTAAGGGCGGATTGGAGGGGTTAATCCATATTTTTCTACCCCTGTACGGTTGTTTACCTACTTCCTGGTCGACGTCGCCATCTTGATCTGAAAGAAGGAGGACTCTTCCGCCGACGTCACCGCGGACGCTAGGTGAATTTTGTGCGTTCAAAAAGAAAATAATTTGGTTTACTATTTCCCCCTGTTTAAAAATTTAAAAAATTTAATTAGTGTATTTTATGTCTTTATTGTAAAGATGTTTTGCGGTCCAAACAAGTATAAAACATATACTTTTATTAATATTAAGGGGAAAAAATAGATATTCAGTTATTGGAGGGTCTCTTCTGAGATAATCCAAACAATCAGCACCTATATAGGCTATACCAATATATAATATTTAGTATAAAATAATAAATTGCTGTAAAGTCAGAAGTGTCTTTGATCATGGTTGCGCCTGCATGTGGGGGGTTATTGATGATGGGACTCTTTCTTTAAACTAATGGGCGGTAATCGTTCAGAGTCCGTGGACTTTGAAAGGTTTGCCCTGATTTTATGTTGATTCCATCATCCTCAGTGCCGAGTAGCTAAACTACAGGACACACAGCGACACACTTGAAGCTCAGATAAATCAAAGCACAGGATGCCTTATTGCAGTTTCTAGATATTTATTTTAATAGCTATTTAATAGCTTTTCATTGTTTTTTTTTTCATATATTGCTTGTGTGTTTTTGCTAGAGTCGTTAAATTGAGCTTTCATATTTGTGGATTCCTGATTTCTCAAATGGATTTGTCTCCAGAGATCAGTGTTTTTATTCTGTCTCTGACAGCACCTTTTATTCTCTACACAATCAACCATGTGTCCTTCCTACAAGAGTAAGTTTGCCTCGTATGTCATTATTTTACAATAATGCATGTTAAAGAACAATGCATTGGCATTAAACAATGCAAAACTGATCATGTCAACTGACTTTTAAACAGTTTGCATGAGTTTTTAATGGCGTGATTTGGCCAAAAGAGGGCAATCAACCTCTACTTTATTTCATCAAGTAATTATTGCTTTCTAGATTTCATTGGTGAATCTCATGAAAGCTGTCAAGAACATTTTGATAGTCATATTTTTCATATTGTGAAATGATTTCATACAAATGTAATTCAGTTTCACCCTCAAAATTCTCATTACCACAATAAAGATATATTATTTAAATTGCAAATTACTTATTTATATTTAAAAATGGTATTGCAGCATTTTTACTGCAATTCAATGAAATGTACTGCATTGCAATCATAAGAATCAAATAAGCCTCAATTTTGACAATAATGAGAATTGCTTATGGTCCTTCTTTATGCAAATGCTAACTTATTTTTAAGAAACGTGCCTCTGATAATCTCATTTATACACTTGAACTACAGCTTTAACCTTCATTAATGCTGAAAACGATATATTATTTAAATAGTAAATTATTTACACCATGCAAATATTTTATAACTAAATATTAAATATATGTATTAAATATATTTATATTTACTAAATATTTTGTACTTTTAATTTATGCTTATTAAATTAAACAAAAATTGTATTGCAACATTTTTTATGTAATATAATACAATTTACTGTATTACAGTCATAAGAATTAAATTGGAATTAACTTTGACAATAAATATATTTATATTTATTATATTCAATATGTGATACTGATTTTAATAAAAAAAAATGTATTGCAGCATTTTTAATATAATACAATAAAATTGACTGTAATAGAGTCATAAGAATTTAATGGAAATCTAATTTTTCAATAATGAAAATTACATGCATTCCTAAAATAGACTTTCTTTTCTTTATGCAAGTTATAACGTTTTTTTTTTTTTTTAGTTTTTTAGTTGTTTTGGGGGTGAAGTATGATCTGGATAGGTTTTTGTGAGATTTAGTTTGTCATTGATCATGTAAAATAAAAACAAGCCTCTGATAATCTCATTTTCATGCTTGAACTACAGCCTTATTCTGCATTATGAATGAAATGGCATGCATCAAACTGATGTTTTGAATGACGTGTTTTCTCGTCCAGTCCACAGGTTATACTGGCAATAGGCATTATGGTTCTTACAACGATATTTCTCCTGGCAAACCTCAGCGTCAAGAGTAAAAAATCTACCGACCCTCTCTTCTACGGTAAGACCAATACTGACAGATGAAGACGCAATGCAACAATACAAAAATACCCAAAAATACCCCAAATGAAAGAAAAATGCGGGAAAAATGCGGTATACACCGTAAAAATAATTGTAAAATTTGCAAATAAAAGAAAGATTACTGGAGTTTTTCAGTGTTTCTGCTTAAAAAAAAATATTTCTTTGTAATTGTTTGTGAAATTTACTTGCAATTTCTGAATTTTCACTCAGAAATTCACAAATAATTACAAATAATTAAAGTTAGGAAGAAACGGCAAAATAACTCATTGAATTAAACGTGAAATTTTGAAGTAGAAAGACTGAAATAGTATTTTAAACAATCTTTGTTTTATTTGCAACTTCGAAAAATCATTTTTACTGTGCATCAGTTTGCAAATGCATAGCAAACTGATATTTTTATATGAGCTCAATCCTGCTCATGTTCCTCTAAAGAAAAAGACCACAGTAAACTAATCAAGAGTTTCAGAAGAGATCTCAAACTGTGCTCAGACTTGTCAAGATACCAAAGTCTGCAATTCAAATATTGCTCAAGCTTTTCAGGACACCATTTGGAAGCAAAGCTTAAACTTAAATCCTAACTGAGAGCTTTTTGAGATGCTTCTGGACCCTCAGACCAATACATTATCATGTTGGACGTGTCGCCGTTATTGACAGCTCTTGAGTCGGTGGACAGCCACTAAATCAGCCCTGCTGTGATCAATCCATGAGTGATTTCAGCTCCTCTAAAGTTTCTCCAGCCTCTATTTGTCCGGCTGCCAGCGCTAATGCATGCTTGAATCCAAAAGCGAGGTGACTTTTCCACTAGGGAATGAAGAAACTCTGGTCTGAGGGCCGCATGATTAAAATCCACCTTCACCTGGACAACCGTGAGCCATCATTAACTCCGCTGTTTGGGAGAGAAATCAATAGCTGGCGAGGAAAAGAAAGTGAAAGCCAGACAGAGACTAAGAAATGGAGAGGAGAGAAGGGCTGTTTGGGTTTGATGGAGAGAGAGAGAGATAAATGTGTGCAGAGTGAGGGATGTGCTGATGTTTCCAGTCTGTGTGTGTTTCAGTGTTTGCCGTGTTTTCCTTCACCTCTGTTGTCAGCATCACCAGTGCACTGCAGCACACTGGACTGATCAAGGGCTTTATGGACTTTTATATAAGCAAGGTTAGATCTCTCTCTCTCTCTCTCTCTCTCACTCACACACACACACACACACACACACACACACACACACACATTGAAGTGGATACCTGTTCCTCTCTCTCTCTCTCTCACACACACCCACACACACACACTGACTGAACTGATCCTCTCACATGTGTGTTAAAGGGAGAGCCGTACCTCAACACGGCCCACGGCATCATGATGAGCTACTGGGAAGGCATCGTTCACTACGGTCTGCTCCTCATCATGGCCCACCACATGACTGCAGGGTACAATCATTATCACAACTACAAAAACACACAGCAACACAACAATGCCAATATATTTATGGGTGACGCAGATATGGGAAGTTGACATGAAATACTTTTCCTGCATAGTGACACATTAAACACTCCAGGTGAATTTTCAATAGTTTTAAAACAATTTTTAACGGATTTTGCCAATTATTTTATCATTATTATGCATGCAGCTTGTAATATATTAATATAAATGTTTTTTTCATTACATATAAATATTTAAATGATAAAAATATACACACACAAACAGTATATTTTAATATTAATTATATTAATATTAATAAAATGTATTAAATGAATTATATATATATATAAATAATAATTATAATATATATTATATTTATAATATATATTATAAATATAATATACAGTGGGTACGGAAAGTATTCAGACCCCCTTAAATTTTTCACTCTTTGTTAAAATATTGATATTTGAAAAAAAAAATCAAATCTAAAAAAAAAATGATGGCTTGTTGCTCACATTTATATTAAAACATTTACTAATTTATATTAAAGCAAAAATTATATAAAGCAATTGTGATTGAGATGTCGTGTTGTTGGTTTCTCTTCACACAGGAAGCCGTTTCGCAGTTTAGCTCTCGTATGGGCCGGATCCATGATCGCCAGTGAGATCGTCTTAATCACAGGCGTTGTAGTAGGTAAGAAACTCAACTTCTCCAAACTAAAAGTGTGTGTTTATTGTTAAAACCCTCCCCTGATGTATGAAAATGTGAATGTGTTTGTTTCTGTGTTTCAGGTAAATATGGAAAAAACCTCCTCCCTGCTTTCTGGAGAAATGCCCCTTCTCTGGTTTTACCCATATGGGCGGCGGCAAAGCTTCTCAACAGGCCGAGAGAGCTGTCAATCATTCCTGCTGACAAGGTGAGATTCCAGATGATTGACAGCACAGTATTGATTCAATCCTCTAAGATCCACTGATCAGAACCGAGAATAAATGCTCATCTTGAATGAGTATAATCATTTACAAATCCAGCAGTGGCCGAGCCATTCATTTCAAACTATTTATGTGCCTCGAGGTGAACACACCGCCTCTTAAGTCTCTACTGATGTGGAAGTACTAGATGGGTTTGATGTGGTCTGTAGGTGGAGGTGGAGCAGAAGAAAACGCTGCTGTCTCGTCCCACAGACCTGCTGTTTACGCTGGGCCTCATGGGAAGCATCATCTTCACTGCATTCAGAGGCTTTGTAAGTATCTACACATCCATCCAAGTATCTGTTTCTCCAGCCATTTATTCCATCACTCACTCTTTTCCTTCTCTCTTCTTTATTTCTTTAACAGGTTGTTCTCGAATGTTCTCTGGATTTTTGTTTTACGTACATCTTCCAGTACGAGCCTTACATGAAAGACAGCGTCGGCTTTCCAAAAGTCACGGTGAGTCTGATGCACCCTATTTTTATGCTTTGAGATGCACTAGTACTAGTATATACTATAGTACGAAAAGAATGACA